TGTCTGGGGTTAAGTAAGTTGTTTGTTTCGAGATGATTGTAGAATCTGTTGTTGAGTATTTTGTCCAGTAGCTTTCCTTGTATGTCCAGGAGGGATATGGGTCTATAGTTTTTACTTTGTGTTGGGTTGTATTGGGTTTGGGGATGAAAATCATTATGGCATGTTTCAGTGAATCGGGAAAGTATCCAGCGGAGATTGACTGATTGAATATATAGAGTAATAAATGCAGCATGTTCCGAGAGCGATGTTTTAATTGTAGTGTGGTGAAACCTGTTGGACCCGGTTCTTTTTGTTCAAATGTTTTTATCAATCACTGGAGTTCTCGAATGGTAATAGGGGGGAAGTCTAAGGGATGTAGTCTTTGAAGGTTCTCATTGTGGTACAGGGTGGTGTGATGTGCGATGTCATTCATGTGTTCTTGGATTGTGTTAATGTATTCAGTATCAAACTCTTCATTCTCAGTTTCGGAAAATATGTGTTGGAAGTGTTCTCTGAATAGGTTCTTTTTGTTTTGCAGTGTCCAGTCGGATGTTATTGTGCTTGAGGTATGGGACTATTTGTTTCGTGTTGGAGCCTGTCATTCTTTTGACGGATTTCTAAAAATGTTTTGGGTCTTCTTTGAGTTCTAGTGTTGATATGAGGTCTTGCCATGTTTTCGTTTGTAAGTTTAGGTAGGCAGTTTGTAGTTGAGAGCTTAGTGAATGAAGTTGCCTATTCAGCGCTATTGATGGACCACGTATTTGTACGTGGTGAATGGTTGCTAGGTATTGAGTTTGTATTAGGAGTGATTCGTGATTCGGTGATTTAGTTTTATGCCAGGAATTATCCGGTGTGTGATATTGGGAACGGCAAGGTCTGAGGCATGTCGTACTAGCTGTGTGCTCATCTATTTCTTCTAGCGCTGGGGTCTGGCGTTGAGGGTACTTGGTGATGTTTGAGCGAGTCTTTGTATAGGGTCCAATTTGCATTATGAAATGATTTCCGTGGTCGGATTGGAATTTGAATTAGATTTGCCGAGATTGTGGCAATGTTTGGGATGTGGTCCGACTGTGTTATTGGTCCTGGTTGGCGATGTATATTGTGAAATGCTTCGTTGTTTTGAATCACTCTATCTGGGGATGTCATGTTTTTGTGGGTGATAAGAGTGGAAAACTAGGGACCCATGTGAGAGCATTTGTTTTGTGCAATAAGCGTGTGTAGCTGTGAGGTTGGACCTGGAGTTTTGCTGCGAGGGATGTTTAGCGTTCAAATCGGCAAAAAGGTATACCGAGAGCGGTCTGTTAAGGAAGGTGTGGAAGTCTATGAAGTTTCGGTAACCGGTTCGAGGAGGGATGTACGTGGTTCCAATAGTGATAGGTCCTTGTAGGGTGTCTATTATTATGGCCAGCATATCAGAGTGGAAGTTGTCGTGTAACTTGTAGGGAATGTTGCTCTTGATAGCGATGGCAGCACCGGCGTGTTGGGCGTTGCCTTTATTGGTTGTGTGTGAGTGGTAGTTGAAGATTTTCATATGAGTGTTGTTAGTGAGGAAGTGGTCGTTCAGTAGAATATTAGTGTCGATATTGTAGATGTTGGCGAGCGCAAACTTTTTGTTGGTCTAAGTTTGCACATTGACTTTGTGTTGGATGATTTTTATTGAACGCTGTGGTGTCATATTGGAGAAGAATGTTAGTAGTGGACGCCTTTGATTTCTTTAAGATTGATGTTGTGGTAGTAGAGTGGCGGCTCATGGCGTCGAAAGCGTCGTGGGGAATTATGTTTATGTGAGGTCTGTCTAGGATAAGTTTGTCGCGTTTTAATAGGTCGGAAGTTAGGGAGGAGTCTCTCTCGCGCACCGAAACCTTATACCTAAGGTATTTTTCTTCAACTCATCTATGAACCAAATGTTACGAGGTGCTGCTGGGATATGGGTGGGGTGGGGGTGGCTTCTGAATAATTTGATGTGAATGGGTTTTGCGAGTCCGGGTTAGGTGATGGTTGTGTCATGATTGCTTTCGCCGCTGATTTTTTCCGTTTTTTAGGGTCTCGGTTGTCAATGTGGGTTGTTGTTGATGAAGGTAGAGTTTCTCTGGAGTCGTTTTCACTATCTGCATTCAGTTACGTCAGATTTAGTGAGGATCTTCTGAGGTCGTCGTCATTTCAGATTATAAAATAGGTATTGTCTTCTTGTGGTTGGTTCTTGTCATGGTTGTAAAAGAAATTACAGATTTTGCTGGAGTCTCGGTCGGGGAAAGTAACATCAATGTCGCAATGTGCTTTTGAAGATTTAGAGAGTATTGAGCCGAACCCCTCCTGTCTGGCGAGACTGGCTATATGTGAGCTTCTAAGATGAGTGCCGTGAGTTTGATTCGAATGGAGTTGGTGAGGGTGATGTTTTGCTGGGGTATGTTAGTTTGATTGCAGTTTTGGCGATTTCGGCGTATTTTTTTGTAATTCTTGGTCCTGTATGTTTTTTTTTGTTTGCATAGAATTATTATTTTTCTATAGGTGTAGTTGGCGGCAAGTGTTCTGTGGTCAAAGCCGCAATTTGAACATTTCTTTTGCATGTTGGGGCATTGCGTGGAGGTGTGATCATGAGCTGCACACTCTGAGCAGGATGGTATGGTGGCGGTGCATAGGTGGGTAGGACGATCCTAGAATTTGTAACATTTGTAGCATATCAGGATGTGGGTATATCTTTCTTGCTGACACTGACTGCAGGGTGATACGGGTGTTAAACATGGCACGACCTTCTTTGAGGATTCGTTGGGCAATTGTGGTATCGGTAGTTATTATTTTAATGATGTGAGTGTAATCCTTGATTTTAACTCTTTCGTGTATGTGGATCCAGTTTTTCAGTCGCGTTATTTCGTCCTTGGTCCCAGTCGTGGTTCATCTGCCTATATCTTTGTCAAGCTGTTTTAAAAATATTGTTCGTTTGGACCTTAGATCAGGAGGGATGGTTGGTGCCAAGCTAATTTTCTTGAATGCATCGGTTGCTTTTTTGGAGGTTAGTCGGTCTATTGCCGAGATGTCGTCAGTGACAGCGTAAAAGCCTGTGGTGGTATCAGTTAGCCGGATAAGTGGGGCGTTTCGGTCTTTAAATGTGGTCTGGAAGATTTGTGAACGGTCAATTGTGATTCTAGGGTCGATTTTCTTGAATTGAATTCTGTAGGTGGGTGGTCTTGAGTGAGAGAGTTTATTGGATGTTTGCGATGAGAAGTTAGGATGAGATGAGGATGAATTTCGTTAGGATGAGATGGATGATTTTCGGTCATAGAGGGCAGTTTTGGGCGTGAGGGAGGAGGGCCAGATCCACGAGCTCACTGAGGCAAGCCCTGAGAGCCCGGGACCCGAGCCCTCCCCCGGTCAGGAGGAATGGACATAAGGTGGGACGTGCGCAAGGTCTAGGGTTAGTGGGGTGCAATGGCAAATTTATACACAAAGAAAGGAAGAAATAGGGGTCAAATAAGACAAGTCACAAAATCCTAGTGGCACAAATTTACCTCTGCAGGAGGTCGGGTCCAATCTCGGGGCACAAGGTCCGTTTCGCAAACACTTCACAACAAGGTAATCACTAGGTAACCTTTCTCTCGCCACTTCGATAGCGCGAATTTCTGTCGTTTCTAACGGACGTTGCGACGCACTCGGAGACGTGGGAGCGCCAATCAGCTGTCGCACTCCGTCAATTCCTATTGCAATGGACCACTGGACGACCGAATGGCCTCTATCTCGGACTTTCAATGCTTGATTCAGAATGCATTCAGAACCAAACTCGTACAGACAAATGGCTCGATCGGAACTACGGTAAGTGAATATAAACATCGCGATGCTGAACTACACCCGATGCGGGAGTAGACTTCAAAAATACGTTTATTCAAATTAATGATCTTATTGCGAGGTCAGTAATACAGAAAATTAATCATTGTAATATGAAATCATTTTATAAGCTAATAATAACTTCACATTCAATTAAACTAACAGAATATTTATCCTCTCAGTTTTTGAATGATTATCCTCCTTAGATGCTGCTAATTTAAACAAGAAGTTTTATATTATATACAAAGTTAATTCATAATTTACGCAACGATGACTAGGCACATTTTCCATTTCTTAAAAAAATTCATACAGCTAACGAAAAATCATAATCAACAGCCCCTTTCCTCAGTGATTCTATTTCTCGGCTGTTCACAATGTAATCCAAGGGGAGTTGAGATTTCGCTTACTATAAAGAACTGCCAACTCAAATATGGCATATCAGACACTTAGAACGATGTAATTCAAATCCGATCAACGACGTGAGTTACGATGAGACGATCTTCTGTCTGACCAGTGATGCCTTGTGCGTTTTTCATGCTGCTTCGACATGGTTTCAGGTTCTTCATTCGAACTCCTGTGCAACTGATGTTTCCTGAATTCATGTTTTTAATTCTCGTTTCTAATCTTTTAGGATTACGTCACGAAATTTGTGGCAGAATTTTTCTTCTAGTTCGTTGCATGATAATGCTTCTTCTTTTTGTGAGGAGGTTCATTTAAATCTGGAAGATCGGTTGTTTGGTCTGTTTTTTCAGGCTAAAGTTAGCCATTTTGCACGAATGGGTCAGCGGCGCCACTGTCTTTACTTTACTACAGGGAAGTTCTGTCAACATTTGTATGATTGTGGCGACGTCTCCATTTCATACACTTCCATTTTCGGCCTGGCCTCCTCCGGTGTCGATGTCGCTGACCACCCTTTCTCTGAGCTTCGCTCAAACTCGTATTGAACGGTGGGCCATGACTACTGGGAGATTTCGAGCGAATTTCTGTTGCTTTCGTTTCCTTTTCGTAACTAAATTTCTTCGTTGTGTTATGGTACGTTTTATTCTTATTCCGTTCGGAGTTAGAGGGTTCATTACCTTGCCTGGTTTCATGCACATCGACTTGACTATTTTGCAGCCTTCGATGTTCGTCATTGTCAGGTTCTTTTTTGGATCCTTCAGATTTCAATGGATTTTCACTGATGTGATATTATGGAGTTTCTTAGCCCGGCTTTTCATTCTGCATCATTGACTGCGAACCCAAACTTGAGTGCAAATCAGTATGACCGGCTCCTTTAACAGGTTCCTTTGTGTGATTGGAGAATTTTTATTTGACTGTCTCCTTGCGTTTTGTCACTTTCGTCGTAACTTCTTCCTTTTAAAATTTGTACTGCGAAACTTTCTTTTCTTCCGTTTTTTTCACGCCCTTTTTATTTTTGTTAGATTTTTCATTAGATGGAACGTCATGCAATCTTTATTGTGATTAAGTTGCACTGTCGTGACTATTGTCAATAAAATTGGTGCAATTAAAGCAAATCAAAATATGGTTACCAAGTTTAGAAGTAAAGTTTCTCATTTTGTATCTTCCATGTGGGGTCTCGGTAACAATTTGAATATTATGAACAGAAGGTTTATTTCTTGAAAAGCTCTCTTGTATGGTCACTGGTTCGTCGTGTATACGTAATTTTCTGTCCCTAGACATCAACCCATCAACAGCATCTTCCATTATCATTTCGGTGTCACCCAAGCCAAGCCACGAATTTTTAGCAGTTTCCTTTTATTTCAATGCGTCGTTGATTAACGTTCTCCAAGAATTTTTTTCAAAATCAAATCTTGGGGGATCACAGGGTGGCGCGTACATTGCCGCCTACAGAGGATTCAAAGCAAAAAGCACTTCTTTAGCAGTAGGCATGATGTCGGTCGGGGAAGCCAAAAACATTCTGCCACCTTCGCCAGGGAGCTCTATAACGTAAGCCAAATTTAGTAACAAACCTCCAACAACCCAGTCAGTAAAAGTACCTGAAGATGGGTATGAAATTTCGTGGGATTGTCCGTACCGATAGACGCGCCGGTTAGCCGCTTTCATATACATTGACATTCGCTGTGCAATGCTGTTAACACACGTAAAAGTTTTTCGTCGTTCTCCGGTGTTGCTCCAGGGATAGGTTATCATCTGTCCGTATGTGTGCAGGCTCACAACTGCACTAATTTAGTGTCTATATCTCAACAAAAAAAAAGCAATTGCTTTTGTTTCCTATTCCGAAAAAGCTTTTTCTCCATGATAATCCTCTGTACATGGCAATTGTCCTTTTCTCTCTTCTCCCCAATGGTATCCAAAATTCCTATTTATATCAACTCCAGTGCAAATCTCCCAACGGTCGCTATTTGTTTATGGTGATCGGTTCTTCTTCCACAATCTGTCATGAGTTCTAGAGAATTCATATCCATCAGGGTTCAGTAAAGGTGCCACGAACCATTGATTTTTCAAGGTGTCTGCGTCATTTTAAGTGCACTTCATAATAAGTGTTTATAGGACTACAAGCGCGACAGCTGTCGAGAGCCAGTCTCTTGCATGCATGCCTCCGTCGATCCACATAGAATTTTTGGTGGGGCCTTGTGGGTTGACGACCATCACGTAAATAGGTCGATTTTCATGCGTGGTTCCAATAACTTGCAGAGATGCATGTGGCCTGAAGATGATTGCTAAACATTTTAAATAGTCTTCAAAATCTTTAAAGGAGTTGAATTATTTATAGTCAAAAATCCTGCACAAGTGATTATACTCTTCCATATTGCTTGACGGTACAGTTGAGCGGTATTCTAATTTCATTTCGTATAGAAGTTTTTTGAAGTTGTCAGCGTCGTCGAAACGGGAAATGTCGTCTGCGCGAGAGAGATCGGTCGTTTTTTACACTTAATCGCTATTTCGGGCCAAGCTTTAACCGTCGTAAGTTCCTGCCCATCTGTTCAGGTGTTCTGCCGACTGTGCTTGAGCATCCTCAATCTGCGCCTTGCCGTTTGGACTCCTTTGTTCCGATTCTCGAATAACTACCAAGCAGACGAGTACTGCTAATGCTAACGTCGAATATTGCTTGCCGAATTTTGTCATCGTGAACCCTCGTAGCGCAGGACTGGAATCATGGGCGACAGCTCGTTCGAATCTTATGTTACTTCGGTATATAAGCTACATTCCTCAGCATTTATTTTAAATACATTGAATTTTTATGTTTCTTATTTTGAAATTTGAAAATTTGTATCTGCAATTTTCTGGAAGGGAATATGAAGCTTCTCCTTCGTAGGTTGAACACTTGTATCATAACTACTCATTTGACTTAGATTTTGGGAATTATATCTATGCATTCGGCGAACTGTTTTGGCTAGAGTCTATGGAAGTGACGGCAATAATTTAATATGACAAGAAAATAAACAGAATGACAATTTAATAGAAAACTTTCACCTTCTCATTCGGTCATTATACAAATACGATGGAACAACGTTGATTGAAATAAATAGATTGAAATTTCTAACTGTCATTTGAGAACGAAATTTCTCTCCTCGAGTGTGAATTGATATCGTAATTTTAAGAAAACATTTAACAAAGGCAGCCTTGCCAATTCTACGGAAGTCTGCCGTCTTGTAGTGTCGTCTACAGCAGTTGAAAGGTGGTAATTTGCACTTAGTTTTTCTCAATCAACTTTGTTATAAATTATTACTTATTGTTGTTGAGTAACTTTGTTGTCAGTTATGGCTTTTTTCATTACCTTTTAACGTATCTTTACGTAAATTACTATCATCGACGTTGAAAATAAGACACCTAGCTGTTTCGGTACATTTATTAGGATTTCATTTTGTATCGTGCAAAAATGGCTAAGGCCTATTTGTAGGATGCCATAAGAATTTAATATTTCTGTAATTATTGGTGATTGGATGAGTTCTCCGTCTCTAAAAATTAAGATTAATTTTCCAGTCAGGTTTTAGGGCTTGTAATATTTGCTGCTCCAAATCGTGGGTCTTTAGCGATAACACCTTTTTTAAAAAAATCATTGACATTGAACTAAAATAAGGTTATAGAAAATACAACCTCTGATATCGCATTGCATATAATTTCATACAAATTAAGGGGTTCTTCTACCTATTATAATTAGACTCTCAGAAGAGGGTCATATACATTGGGAGGGATATGTGACTTCTAGATAGGCCAGTGATGTTGTGCGGCTGTGAAAACATTCCAGATAAAAAACATGAAAGTCGCACCATATAGTTTGAATCAAAATGCATAAAGCAATCCGTGGAATGCCTCTTCCCTGACTTCCTCGATGTACTGTCGATGAAATTACGCGTTATATTAATGATCGAACATGAAACTTTTATTGGAGTTGAGAAGAATTCACTTTCATTCAAACAAAATTTGTTGTACTACGGAACTAGGGCTCTTGAGGCTAAGAATACTTTATTAAGAGAAAATATTCACTATTTCTGTTCACTGGAGTCATCTTCATAACAATAAACTTAGAATGATGTTTAAATGTTAGCTAGAAAATATGTTTTAACCGGTTACTCTAGAAAGTGGAGCGATCTGTACTTTGAATTGTGACAGTTAGCAGGAATAACGTTCATATAAATATTGAATAACGCGCAGGGAAACGACTGATTGTTGGTGTACATGCGAGTTTACTCGAAATATGACGTACGCATTGAGTTTCTTGGCCACCCGGCGAGGTCTGACATGTTGAGGTGTTCATATTTTTTCATCGTATTTTAATCATAATTAATTTCACCGTATTTTAACCGTTGAATATCAGGAATTCGTGCATTAAACGAACCATGTTGAGTTCAAGGCTCCCTAAATTGATCAGAAGTTTCTAAGAAAACCGTTCGATAAGTGCTCTGTGTGGACGCCTGATAAGAAACACAGGCCATTACTTAACATTTTGTTGCTCACTACAGCCCTCTATGCCAACCCATCATCGAGCAGAAAGTAATAAGTCGCCACATTAATTCGCAAAATCGTGCCACGAGAGAAAAGATAAACGCTTTGGTGGGAATAAAAACAAGAGTCTTGATCATCGCATGCTGTTTTATGTCCACGAACCCCAGCGTAAAGTTTCATGAGATTTTTTAGAAGGTTTTTACGATGCAACAAAAAATCTCTTTATATCTGTCTACTAACCGAGCATCTGCCGAAAATATTGGCGGCAACGTTTGACAATTCCAATAATGGAGCCATTACATGCATTTCATTTCAATGCTAACTCAATTTGCCCCTAATATATTTATTATCATATATAGTAAGTTGCGTGAATTTTTAATTTGAGCAAAAACTCAGAACATGGGAAAGGTTTATACGAATTAAATCACCCAGTTTAGTGTCCCGAGAAGATCTGTGGTGCGATCTTTCGATAATTCTCGAGTTGAATGGAGCAGAGAACTCCATTGATTGTTTATGGCCACGAAGCAATAATTTTCATCTAGCTAATGAATTCCTTGTCTCGTAAAGCTGTCCGCAAGATGGCTTTACGATCCGACGCCGTTTAAGCCCAGTAAGTTAACCACCACAAGCCAAGAAAGATTGTTGCCATATCAACACTCACTCTAAACGCAATATTTGCTCACTAGCGCATTTCTGCCTTGCAGTTTCTTTGTCGGTCACGGCCTCTCACTTTCAGTTTTCTTGATGTTGGGAAGATTGCTTCCTCACATAAGCTACTTTGTAAGCCCCGCACATAATTTGAATTCATGCAAGAAGTCGTTTCGTGTGATCCACGTTATTAGTCTAATTCGAACCTTAGCTGAATATTTTTAAACATAATACAAACCATTAAAACCGATTCGTACAAACGCATGCGGTGGACATCCCATTACTGTGGCCACGCAAAAAAATGTGTAGGCTTTTTTCTACCAAAATTGTGTAGGCTTTTGTGAAGCCACATGCAATCTCAATTTTGATGCATGGAATCGCGCTATTTGAACCTTGCTGTTCACAGTGAATTATTTTGAATAATAATTTCTTCGGAGCAAGGTTAGCTGTTTACTGTAGCGAATTTAATTATTATCATTCACTGGCATTCAAGTTAAACAGTTTGAATATTATTATTGACATTACAATCAATTGGAACATTTAAAAAAAAATATTTTTATGAGCTGAATTCTTCAAGTCAGAAAACTGATGCTCACCCAAAGTCATCTTGCAGCCGAGTAATTTCTTAATTTCATGCTGGCTGACGAAAAATGTAGAGTTTAGTCGACTCAGGTCAATAATATTCTTCTTCATGATTTATAGCCCGAATTTTTTTATGGCTTTGCGAGGACCAATCAGACGAGCAGTTAAATCATTTTCGGATGATCTATCTATCGAATATTGAAATGGTCTGCAATATTAATGACATTTGGCGTTTATAATGTAAGAAGTATTTACATATATTTAAGTAAATATGTATATAAGTATCGTTAATGCGATTTAAAAAATAATTTGAAAGAGTGAGAATTTATTCTTAATGTTTGAAAATACCTGTCGAAAATAAATTGAAATATATTAGTTATGATTGATACGGCAGCTTTTGATGCACAACTTTTCTCAACCGTCTTTTTAGCGCATTTTTCATTTATGGAAAAAAAGGCGCATTGTGCTCGTCATGTCCGTCCGTCCGTCTGTCTGTCCGTGACTTCACGGGCGGACGAGAAAATGCGCTCTCTGTCACTCACTACAGTGAGCACTGAGTTATATTTTTTTTACTTGAATACACTAACGAAATGCAATAGAGTATTCAAAATATTAATGTCTAAGTAATGATGCGTAGATATAATACAATTTCGCGTACTTTCTTTTTAGCACATTTTCTCATTTATGGAAAAAATGGTTTATTGTGCTCGTCATGTCCGTCCGTCCGTCTGTCTGTCCGTGACTTCACGGACGGACGGACGAGAAAATGCGCTCGCTGTCACTCACTGCAGTTAGTACTGAGTTATATTTTTTCCTAATTTAAAGTTTTAAAACTTTGACCTTATACCTAGAACTTTGTAATCTTTTCAATACTATATTATAACATTATATTAAAAAATGTTCCAAAACATTATGAGATGACTAGCTTGGCTGCATATTATTTTTGCAATTTTAGTCCGAATTGCAACCTTAAATTATTAGAAGGACAATTTTATGCGTCGCATGAAATATGTTGAAAGGCTTATATAAATGATAAAGTCTGCACAAGCTCTACCCACTGAACTATAGCCTTTAAAATCGAGCGTATAAAGTGCAGTGAAACTCATGCAGAAATCGAGCGTCTGAAAGCTTTTCCCGATGCTGTCCGTAATTGATGCATTGCGCCTCACTCAGCCGAACCTCTGTTCCCTCTCAAAATTACTCTAAAAGCCAAGAGCAAAACTAAGGCAGAAAAGAACGAAGCATTCGGTTCTATATTGATGACACTTGTGATACGCTCACTCTTCGTCGTCCACGCTTTTTATAAAGTTTTTATTTCTCACTCAATTTTTGAGGGAGATGCGAGCGACGTGCATTAGACCGCGCTATAAGAAACAACGTGAGCTGTCTTCCCTGGAAGATATCTCGACAAATATTTATGAAAATAATGAATACTTCTCTTTTGAACTGACAGCTAAAAAAGACACCATTTATTTTCTGACAAACTGGGTAACATTGTTATACATTGTCTCAACGGCGATGTATACGCATATTTTACCAGGTACACATATGTATCTTATATGTGTACTAAACTTAAACTTAACTAACTGGATTCAAAATTCTGTTTATAATATTTTTGACTGAGATTGTTTAATCCGACAATATTTAAAATGTGAAAGAGCTATCGTGCATCTAACCTGAATTCAACTGTAATTTACTTTGTGCTGTAAAAGATTAATGTGTTTTATTGCATATTTCCTGAGTATTTTTCAACAATTCACTCTTCAATATTACTACTGCTAATTCATTGTCTACTATAAATGCATAGATATTCTGTAGCGGTCCACAGTATCAGCTACAGGTGAGCTAATCAGTTCAACATATGAAAAGGTAATTACACCAGGAAATCTCCTGCACACATAAACTAATCCGGCAGTCCAAAATATCAGTGGATAGAGATACACATGCCTTACCAGCAGATACTCAACTGATATTACTATTCTGTAATATAGGTGTATGGCAAAACACATTATCGTTTCGGTATATAATCCATCTTTTCGAAAATCCTAGCATAAGCTGCCGATCAAAACTTGCAGTTCGTCATGTTTGCAGATGATTCACCGTATTCATATCATATCATTGGATGATCCAACCAGTTCTTCGTATCGGCAGAAATTCCAACTGCTTTGTGTTATCTGCCTGTTCTCAAACTTCTTCGTACCAGTCGCTGATCCAGCCTGTTCTTTGTTTCAGTCGCTGATCTAGCATATTCTTCGCATCAGTTGATGATCTCGCCTACTCTTCGCATCAATTGATGATGTAGATGATGATGAATAGATGATATATTCTTCGTATGAGTCGATGATCTAGCCTATTCTTCGTATCAGTCGATGATCAAGCCAATTCGTCGTATTATTTAATGATTAGTCAATTTTTTTAATCACTAAAGGATGTCTGAAACGGTATTACATTTATGAAACGTGACCGCATTCAGCGCACAGCCGACCTAGGCCGACCGCGCTATGTTTTTATTTGTGTTGGTGATGTTGGTCCGACTGGTCATGGTGTTGTAGTTTAATTTGATTTAGAAACTTTAGTTTGAGTGAATATATTTCACCGTAGTTAAGCTTGACATTTGAACCTTGGTTAACTAATCTGCTCATAAACAGACATATACTGAAAGCTGCACGATACAATTTGATCATATGCCTAGTCATGGCGATTCATATAGTCTCTCTCAATTTTCAGCCACACTTCAACCTGCCCACGCATTTTGAAATATTTTATAACTATTCCTTTTCAAGTTTAGCCATTCACATTCGAGCCTCGGGCTAGGCAGCATCATCTTTCGCTTGACGTTCGTTGGCTTTACACCAGACGTCTGTCGTCCTGTCATCCGATGTCTGTCGTCCTGTCATCCGACGTCTGTCGTCCAGTCATCCGACGTCTGTGGTGCTGTCATCCGACGTCTGTGGTGCTGTCATCCGACGTCTGTGGTGCTGTCATCCGACGTCTGTCGTCCTGTCATCCGACGTCTGTCGTCCTGTCATCCGACGTCTGTCGTCCTGTCATCCGATGTCTGTCGTCCTGTCATCCGACGTCTGTCGTCCTGCCATCCGACGTCTGGTGTCTGCCACGAGCGTGGGACCTGCCACGAGCGTGGGAAATAGAGCCTGGGGCTTGCGTGCGCCCTTGGTCGTGGAGGTGAGCCGTGTGAGTCATCACGGTTCTTGGCCCATGATCGAGAGGTGTGAGCTACTTTCCTAATAATTTTAAATGAACTTTTTTTCCGCAAAAACCTCATTACAATTGCCTATAAGGATAACTATTACTATAACGCTAACTATAAATAACTTAATACTATAACATTACTAACTCAATACTATAATCATATAACTTTTCACCATAACTATAACTTGTGACGTTAACGCCAACTAAAATATAACTCTCATTTAGACTTGCAGAAACGGATCGCGCATCTCATAGTTTCATTGTAATAGTTAGATGATGCAGATTAATTAATCAGTCGATCGGGTCGGCCATATGTACTTGCATCATCATGTTAGTATACCACGCTAATGGCTTAACCATAGCAGCAGTACTTGACCAATTAACTTTTTCATCCTATTTATAAGCGACGATAAGGAGCAGTTCATTGTATTTTCATTGATATAACTATGCAAGCTGCAACGACCAGCGCAACTCTGATCAGTTCATGCCAAGCGCTGTGGTGATCTAGCATGCAGTCTAACAGTTCATGCTGCATGATCCAACTGCTGTGGCACGGAATATTACTGCCATAACAGAGCAGGAAGAGTGTCATTGAATAGCCGTACCGAAGCATGCAGCGCCCAAAGGTGAATCTGGAAATAGAGCAAACCAATGAAAAACATTTTCAACAAAAGACCAAAACTCTTCATTAATAGATAATCTGTTACGGGTAATCTATAAATATCTCTTCGATACGTTGTGTGCATTACCTTTGTTAGATGTAAATTTTATTCCAATGCTGTGCACTATATCTTATCGAGTTGGATGCAAGTCTTCCATGCGTGAAAGTATCAGGATTTTGCTGGGCCTACACGAGCGATCTCTTTACCGATATGCTTATTGCCTTCGATTGCCGATGCTCGGACCTGGTCCAGCAGAGATGAGAGAGAGAATATCGAACGCCAGGCACGAATACTCAACGTCTTCAGCCTCACTGGCCATGATGGATATTATATGATCATATAGGCCGTGCGACATCACATATAGGCCGTGCGACATCATATTCCATCTCGAGATTACGCTCGCGTTCATGGTCGGCGAATGCGACCTCTGCGATAAGTATTCTTCAAAGCGTTATGTACACTATTTATAGAACGATGCACAAGTTTTGCAATGGCTGTGCGATGGTTGCGGCGATACACATCGACTCTATCGTATTATAAGAAAATTATCTGTGTTATTCAATAGAGAGTATAATCTAATGGAGTAAATAGCTTGGCAAGTTACCAGGAAAATTATTTTTGGTCCAAATAGAATATCTTTATCAAAGTGTACCTTCCGGCTGTATGAATATTTTATAAATTCATGATTACGGTCATCTAATGTAAGTCACGGATATATGAGATGAATTATAGTACAGTGATACCTTTTAAGTTGAAGAACTTAAATTGCAAAATAGCGCTTCAGCCTAGAATAGTCGCTTTCAAAAACAGTGTTTAATATTGCAATTCGAATTCAATAATTCAAAGTTTGAATTTAAAATAAGTATATCAATATGATGAGGTAATTCAACAAGTTTATATATATGTGCACAAACGCAACAATGTAACAAGCAATAATGTTAGCAGCAAAAATGAACCTCAAACTCACCTAATCCAATCGTAAGGTTGGGATGAGTAATGCCAGCAAAATATCTGACTTGATAACTAAATTTTAAATTTATTAAGTATTATCAATGAAAAAACTCATGTGGTCTATCGCTATATTCATTGTAAACAACTTATTGTAAATTGATCCTAGAAAATCTTCAGGACGTTTGACTATTAAGAAGTTATGTTGGGTTTAAGGCTGTATGAATATTTTATGAATTCGTCTCTTTTAAACCCGATTGGTTGAATAATTGCACCGCGAGTTTTTAAGTCTTATTCAGAAGTGTGATCAAGCGGAACTCGGTGGCACGCGCCGGCATGGCTTGGGAGACCAAGGCTCAGCGTCTAATACCAGCGGCCGTGGACTTCTTCTTTCCAAAACACAAACTGCTCTCCTGTCCTTTCATTAATGTTTTGCAAAGTCTTTTCCAGAAGACTCTTCCAGTTTAACGGCAAAGTCGGAAGTTCTGCTTCGAGGATTTCTTGTTGGCTATTTAATTAAGTGACTTTTTCATTTGAGCTCCGGGAGCTCGAGGGCAGACCCTCTAAAAACCTCTTCCTAGTGCCCAAGAGAAACAGAAAGAAATAGACTGGTTATAAATTTAAACTTATCGTTAAATGACAACGCCAGAAACTTCTGGACACTTTATTGGAAGCCAAAAAAAACATCCCTAGTAAAAACCTGAGCTGAAAATGAGAAAAGAAAGGAAACCAATGCAGGCAAATGTTTTTTGGCAGGAGTACTGTAATACTTGAACGAAATTAAGGTGCCACAACATGATAACTTCTTTAAATTTTCTTTAAGGATTTGAGGAGTCAAGGGATTATTATTATCAATTATTGATTGATTGAGGGATCAAGGTTATTTGTGATACGCTTTTCTCATTATGTAGATCAGAATTTTATATAATTGTTCCAGAGTATATTAGATGCCATGTGATCAAATCAAAGCTGATGCAAAACATTTTTTCACTCCTCGATGTTCGTTTATATGGCATTCCAGCACAGCACGTCACGAGACCAGAAACGACTCAATGACTCAATATCCAAAAATTTGAGAAAATTTCTAAACTTTATTTTCCTTTTAGGCTAAATGTTAAAAACCCGTAGGACATAGATGAAATTTTTTCCTGATTTCAAACAAAAATTATGATAATATAGGGTTGAAACTGATATATAAGTTCTCCATTGATTCTTTTCATCTCCTGATTTCACATTTCTGAATTGTTATGCTGCAGACATGTACAAACAGAGTGTGCCAGACCTCATTGCTGACGAGAAAATAAAATTGATTAGTTATTTCGTTCTATGTGGAAATCCATTTCATCGAATCAAATTATGATTATGATCCTTTGTACATAAGAATAATTGTGTTGGACGGAAGAAATACAACAGCTATGACAATAAATTGACAAAAGTAAACTGTTTTCATAAATGCAGAAACTTAAAATTGTTGCAATCAATTTCCAATTAAAGTTTTAAATTGTTGCTATCAGTCAAATTGTTGCAATCAATTCAAAGATGATGAAAACCATTACGAAAATTATCGAACTTACCTGTCGTGTTAATTAGAGTTGGTTGGAGTTGGTGAGTGGAAGACGACCATCGTTAGTGTACAGCAATTAAAGCATATTAGTATATTACTTAATTAAAATATTACGCGTTATCGAAGCGAGCACATGGTAAAAAATTGATGCTGCGCTTATAAATTTAGCGAATAAATAGGCTTTATCCAATATATGAATCCAATTAAACTAATTCTCACGACTAGGTTGAATGCGGATGGAAATCCCCATATGAGAATGAATTCGAAAAGAACATTTCATAGAATATTGTTCTGCAAATGGTTTTTAATGAGTGACAAATCTAATTAAAATAATGAACAATAGAAAGTAAATGAGCACGAATTTAGTAATTATAGGTTTATGAATTTTTGTATGTGCATAAGTGCAGAGTTTTAAAAGTACGGTAGCATGAGATAAAATTTTTATCCTGGGATTTATTGCTTTTTCTGCAGGATTTCAAAGATTCCGAAATGTTAAATACAATCAGATGTTATTTAAATTACTGAATTAAGAGAAGTTCTTTCTTTGCATAGGATGAACGCAATCGAAAGATGCAACGGAGGTCATTTGAAGTCTTCAATACAAGTTGCGAACTTGACCGATGCAGTTGTAGAGAACTTAATATATTAGCACGTAGAGATAAGCAAGATCTTCCGGATCATTATAAAAATTTTACCGTGCCGTACTATGAAGATCATCAAATTTCCACTGAAAGATTCAATTCTTCTGAACTTCTCGATCATCAATTAGTAGTTAAATTACAAACAATTAATTGCAATGGACCAAAAAAATCTTTAAGACAATGAATCATGAATCCTTTAACTTTTGAAGCGTAATCTCTTTTGGTGTTAATTAATCCTATAGAACTACACTGACTGAAAAATTTTCCTTCTTCCAGCTCGGAACATTACACTAACATGTTTGGTTAGTATCAACGATGATTTTTTAGTTTCTAAATGGGGGCTGAAATGAACCTCTAAAATCAATATCCAGAATTCTACAGGAAAAATATAAGTCAGCATAAACGATCTAAGTTATACATTTACTCCAACAGGACTTCAAAATGGAATCGCATGAACGCAAATTTATTTCGTGAAGTGAATCGGGCGGTCAATTTGCGGGGTTGCTTGAGTTTGTATTATAAGTCCGAGGAAGCGGAAAGCGGCTTTTGCTGCCCTGGCGATCAGGCAGCGGGTGCTAGGAGACAGCTTATTGACGCTCGACCGCTCGCTTCGTTTACGGCGAACGTCGATCGCAGGAGCGTTGGTTGCTGTGCTTGTCGTAAGTGCTATCCCTCCTAAAACATGATCGAAAGCCACACGAAGGAGAGAAGCTATTGGAGAATGAAGAGCTTCGAGAAGTAAATAGTGGGATGTACGTTGAAGTCTGTAAATAGAAAATTTTGTGATCCACAAATTTTTATGTCGTCAAGATTTCCTGCCTTTCTTATTTATCAACGTACATACATAAGGTATATAATTTTAATGGATTTGTGGGAAATGGACAAATTTAATTTATTCAATATGAGCTGAAACTTCGAACAACAAGATTTTTGAGCACTACACTTCTTGCTGGAGCTCAATTTTAAAGGGGTATTATAGATGGGTCACCAACGTTTCAATTCCATAATTCATCCATTCAGGCATAATCATAATTAAATTCATTCATTATTTTGAAATAACTTGTGCGTCTGAATTTTTATTAATTCAAATTTTTACACAACGGACGTTAATTTGTAATTCATTGATGTCTGAGAATAAAAATTTCCGCCGAAAAAATCGTATGATTGTTTGATCAAATTAATTTTTCGGTAGCGTAATCCTACTCAAGTAGTTGACATGCTGTCAATTGCAACCATTTAAATCTGTTCGTTATCACAGTCCGTGCATTCGGTATTTTCTTTTTACGGTGCAAATTGGAACCATATATGCTTAGCTCAAAATTTAGTACATGTTTCGGTTCAAAAATTTTCATTCGATTCATTGATTGTAAAACTTAGATCGAAAACATCTTGACATTTCTTCTTCATTTGAAGAACAGAACGATTCAAGTCAACATTAATTCTTCAAACACAATTAGTCTTCCGCTTTAATGTCATCGATTATAATCGTGCCATTCCTAAAATCTTTCATGTGCTATCTGATTTAAATTATTTGAATGGTGTCACTTCATTAGCTTAACTCGAGAAACCTTTACATTCCTTAACTTGCATTCCACTTTCAGCTTAACATTTTCTAACCACAATTTTCTGTAATTATCATCCTTATATCTTTTCCTATTGATTGCATCCTATAATTCATTATCCTGTACTAGTGTTCAAAAGGCATTTCTCTCTCTTGCTTTTTTTCATTGTCATCATTTACTATATTCATTTTTATCACTAACATATTTTCCACATGTCATTAACATAAGCTACTTCAGCTCATAAATTTGCAATTATTTATATCTCTCTGACTAATAACAATTATTCCGTTATTCCCTGCAGAATTTATCTTGAGCAAAATATCCTTTCCGTTATTTATTGGCAACATTGACATTCTGCATGATTTCTCCTTAAACATATTGCAAGGGCGTTAACACAAGCCGAGGGCAGCAATTGCGGCCAGCGTTAGCGGCCGCCGCGATGCTAATGCCATGCGACGGTTGAGAGGTCGCCTTACAAGCGCGCTGAAGCCGCGCTCTGGCTGAAGAAACGCGCCTCGCACTAACTATTTAGCACGTTCATAAGGTCGCGCACTTACTATTTAGCACGTTTAAATAAAAAAGTTTCTCGTACAGCTGACTATGG